ATTGTTTTTCTTTAATGGGGATAAAACGGTTTGTATTGTTATTTAATGTTAGGTATTGTATAGCTTTAATTTCGTTATTTAAGCTTAAAAGCTTTCAGAAATTAACACTTCAAAGCATAAGCCCGTGTCACACTGTCACGATTTATAGCTAAGATTCATTACGAATTCAAAAATCGCAGTAAATCGGGATTTATCGTAGAAGTACTCGTAGGATATCTTCCTTAATCATGTTGGATCGCAGCAAATCGACAAACTTGGCGATTGTTTTGAGCATGTTCAAAACAATCGTGGACACAGCACGATTTTTAATTATTCGTAGACAATCGCACAGCATCCGTACTGCACTCGTACTCATATTCGTAGTAAATCTTCGAAGTTCGTGCGACATTCGCGGAACTTCGTAGTACTTCCGACAGTACGAGAGTCCTACGAGTTATTTCGAGTGTCCTTCGAGTATGTGCGAGTTTCTCTCGAGTTACCGCGAGTGTCCTACGAGATATTGCGAGTGTTCTTCGAATTGATAAGAACATAGTACGACTTTCCAGCGAATATGATACGAAAAAGGACGATTGATGGCAAGTGCTGTACGAAAACTGTGCGATTGACCTACGAGTTAATACGATGTAGGCAGACGGTGTCTGATGTTAACACTGTCGAAATCAAAATACGGCTTAAAATAAAAGGAAAGAAGTTTAGAAAAGTGAAATAAACTGAAAATACCACGTGTAACAGAATCTATAAACACCGTGTACAAAAAACACTCGAAGAGATTGAACATAATCAAAAGTTCCACACTGTAGTTTTTACCATGATCAAATAACATTACTATGATGTTTAATGATTTCAGACAAATCTCCTTTACTCAGTATATGCATTCCATTACATGTATATTCGTAAAAAATCGCCATTAGTCGTGGGCATATCTCGTATGTAACGTGGCATATCGTAGTCCTTCGTACGAGTATCGTGTGTAACCGCGTTTAATCCTTCATAATCGTAGAAATATCGTTACCAGTTCGTAACGCTGTCGCCTCAGTTCGTACTTAAATCGTACAAACCTCGTACTTTGTCGCACAGACATCGCAGACACACCATTCTAGCAGCAAAATATTCCACACGCTGTAGAAAAATCGCAAGACAAACCTGGCGATGAATGGAGATTTTCAACTTTTTTCAATTCGTTGGTAATCGTAGGATAAATCGTGACAGTGTGACACGGCCTTTAGGCAGCTTAATATTACCCGTATTCATTCGCCTAACAAGTATATTCTACCAAAAACGAGTGTTTTTGCATCTCAAAATGACAGGGGGTCATTATTCTACGGGGTCATTTTTCTACAATGCACACGGAGAAAAACGACCCCAAGGCCATAATTTCTACAGAAAAGTGGGTCATTTTTTTACGTAGAATATTGACCAGGGGGTCAAATTTCTACGTAGAAAAATGACCCCCGGTTAATATTCACTTCTCGTCGTTACATAGGCTGTAAAGCCACCCATGATTTAATTGTAAAGAATTTCCTGCTACAACTTTCACTACCTGCAATTATCAAAACAAAAGTTGAGTTTGATTATAGTTTATTAACATTTGTGCTGTAAAACAATTGCATCCTATCAATCAGACCATTAGAACCCTTTCATATACAATGTGGCCAATTACTTGCATATCATAGTATTGAAACTTTTTCTAAAGCACATTTACTAAATCCTTAAGGTAGCATCTTATTGAAGGTAGGGCTATATGCTGTGTGTTACAGTCTTAAGAATTGCAACTGATCAATAGAAAATCAATACAAAATAAATCAGATTGGTAATACATGTAGCATATTATTATTTTAATGTTCACGTTTATATACCAATAGAAATATATTATTTACCTGCGTAATCTTTGAAAAAATTAAACCAATAAAAAATCAATCAAATCCATCAAATTCTACAAAAGAAATTATTTTGAACGAGGCCAAAATTGAGGCAAAATGTTTTACAGAAGCCAAATTTGAGGCCAGGCCAACTTTTGAGGCCGGGCCAAAATTTGGTATGAAACCAAATTAGAGGCGAAAATGGAGGCCAGGCCAACTTAGAGGCCAGGCCAGGCCAGGCCAGGCCGAAGGGGCCAGGCCAGGTTTTATAGTATGCCGGAGAAAACAGGGAGAATGTTAATATATGTAAACATATCTTCAGTTCATTCGTCTTTGTTAACACAGCCATATATTCATTTGTATTTTCTTTTCAATTTCTTATATATTATATGATTTGTGTTTAAATTAAAAATTGACTTATATTTTAGTGTTTCCTTAACTCTGTAAATTTATTTTAACATATTTTATTTCTAAATATACATGAACAAACAATGTTGTCGAAGGTATTGTACATTATTATCGCATAGAGAACATAACCATTGGAAGATAAATGTGGCAACAATGTGTGTTATACAGATATGCCCCATTTATCAACTTCCTGTTTCGATCTGTACAGTATGTGCATGCACCTGTTGATTCTCCTTTTAAATCTAGAAACGTTAACTGGTATTTTGTTTGAGTACCGATTGAGATGTCCGGGTACCGCTGAGAAATGGAGACAGAATTCAGATAAATACGTATGTCATGGCGACACAGTGTATCACTGCATGCAGGACCAAGATGGCCGTTACGTAGTTTTCTGTGCATCCCCTTTTTGGATTCAACCAGGTAAGATTTTCTAAATTTATGATATAAAGAGTACGTATGACTTCTTTTCCCATGCCTTTTCATTGTCATAAAAAGTTGTTTCAATAAAATATTTACCCTCTACTTGTGGTTTTAAATATCTTTAATATTTCATTGTGGTATTTTTCGTTCTGACAAGTGTAGGTCCAAAATTCCTACACAAATGAATTGGCAACAGAATACTTATACATGTAATATATTGACTATGTTAATACAAAAAATATGTATTACAGGTTCACCAATACAATATCACAGACATCTTTTAAGTTCAACCTCGGTAAAAAACTATTTAGAAAATTTTATATATTTCACGTAAATATGTTCATTCCTCGCAGATTATTGTCCAGAATTTAGCGTGAAATCTTTCCTGATTGACGTCATATTGTGTCGAGGGGAAACAGAGAAATGTCCAGACAGTGAATATCTATCCAACACTGTATATCAATGTAGGTCATACTACCTGTTATCAACATATTCATATATACAGGGAAAAGGTTAATGTAGATGAAGTGTTATAATCTATTGATAGGACATAAATAAATGATATCTTAAACTAATGTTGATTTTACGAATAAATCAAATCTATTTTTTTTATTAATATGTGAGGAACGAATTCGTGGAGAGAGATAATGAAATACTAACCCCAAATGATAAAAAATAATTAGAATTGTTTAATGTATGTTTTGAAAAAGAACGAATAACTCGAGGTTTTTTGGTAATTTTAAACATAAAAAGTATCCTTGAAATTAATTTTAACATGTTTTTATAATTTTTTAAAAATAAAGATCCAAGCTGCTTTTGTACTGGGAGCAGGTAAAAGTTTATTTATAATTAGAGATAAGAAATTTGGAATTATATATATTTTTTTATTTCGAATCAAAGCTTTTATCGGTTAATTAAACAATAACTTTTTTTCTTAGATCTACGAACACGAACTTTTCTTTTTTGTTTTAACATTTAATTTTGAATGAAAAATTTGTAATTTAACAAGGATTTAAATATCTAATTTAAATCATAGATTTTTTATTGATAAAAGTCAGCAATATCTTTTTCTTAGACCTACTGCACCCACCCCAGTTTCTGATAACGGAAAAGTAACAACAGTAACAAAGCTGAGATACACGTAAGTGGTAAGGAAATTTACGAATGAGCGTATTTATAGGTGAAAAGAATGCAATCAATAACATATTCGTCTTGAATTTCAGTATCACGGGGCAAACTGATTCGGGTAATGAAGAAAAAAGGTATATGTACATTGTATCCGATACATTTCCAATATCTTTAAAAAGTATTTTTTTTTCATAATATAAACTTTTCCATTGGTTTTTCACTCTTGCCCTAACACAGCTTAAACAAGATTTAGTTTTAATTCACAGTCAATAAAATATAAGAATGTTCCAAATGATAATGGCATATTAGGTAAATAATATGTTTTCAATTATTCAATAAAAGTTTCTTTACAAGAGATTTGACGGTTTCGAGTGGTGTTATATTGGGGATAGTCTCTGGAATCATTCTGCCAATACTTGTTTTACTGGCCATTATCTTCCTCCTGAGAAAGAAAAGACAGAAAACAAACGAGAAAGGTATTCAACACACATTGTTTATAACTAAGATAAAAATAAATCTTAGTCTTCACGGCTTCAATTTTTTTTTGTTTGATGAGAAAAACTAACGAACAGTATCCAGGCTTTCAATCATTATCTAGTTCTCCTTTTAAAGTAACATAATTCATGAGATATTATAAGGACGCAATTTCATCCTACTTTTGTAACATTTGCTTTTTACATCATTTGACAGCAGATTTCTCCGTTCCTAGCCGGGTAATGGGTCAACAGTGCTTTCTTAGGTACCTGATGAAACCTTTACATTTTGCGTTGGTCGGTGTATTATGTCAGGAACACATTGTTTTTCTTGAAGACTTTTAGATCCACCACTTTGTTTTACATTCACCCTTTACATTCTCGAGCTGACCTTAAACATTTAAATATATGCTGGGTGTTGACATTTAAAAAAATTGAGAAAAACTGACATAATATGAAGAAATGATTTAAAACAATGTACATATTCAGAATACGTAGTTTGAAATTTGAATCGTATCTGACATTCAATGCAGATAAAGAAGTTTAAAATTTAATGACGTTTTGATGAAAAATTCTAAACATAAAAAGTAAATTATTTAAGAGTATTAAAAGTATGGCAACATCAACAACCTAATAGCAGATAATCGGATTCAATCCTTACAAAGATTTTATGAATACATGTATCAAGTATTTTTTTTTTTTTTGCTTACAGAAAATAAATCGTGCGTAAATTATTCCAAACCAGATTATTTGAAAAAAGAAGAAACCGAAATTTCAGATTCAGGTAATCATCACTCAGCTTATAACTTGAAGAATGGCCTTGCTTACAATTATTGACAGAGTCGCATTTTATTACACCTGTGGTCTTCTTTGCAGCTTGAAAATATAGCCCAGCTTATTAAATAGACGCTGATCGGCTTTAATATGCTCGTTTTCCTTTGGTGACAAACTAATATTAATACACAGTGAATAATCAATTGAAAATCAAAATCTGTATCAAACAAACTAAATCCAAGAATCCAATATCAGGCGAGAGGTTAAAAGTTTCGAGGGCTGATATCGGTCGATGTATAATAAAGGTCGTGGTGTGGAAAAGGGTATGATTTATTATGATAGATACTTTCTTAGTAATAAAATACAACATTGGTCAACTTGAAAAAAAAACAACTAAAATCACTCACTACTTAGCAAATAGAATAAGTAATCAATTACGGGGTTAAATTATTACATATATGTCAAATAAATAGAGATGAAGGGTACAGAGGCCAATTGTAATATTTTTGCTCACATGGATCAAAATGTGAAACATAAGCAGACCACTTTATGAATAAAGAAAAATAAGACATTAAATCTAAAATTGTACATTATGTTTCATCTTACAAACTATGTACCATTATGCGTTCAACTTATATGCTAATTATAGGACAAATAAGCGTATGTGACCGGTCGGTAAGGGATGCTCACTCCCCCATGGCATATGACACCACCTCTAATATTTTGAAGGTCCGTGTTTCCTCCGCCGCCAATATTTCACCAAACAGTATAATATTGTGATACCGTAAAAATATTAGGTCTCTACTTTAATAATTCATCTTGATATTGTCGCCCGCGTGGCGCAGTGGTTAGAGCGTCTGCTCTAGAGTCGCGAAGTAAGTAGTCAATCCTTTCGTCGCGGGTTCAAATCCCACTGTGGGACGTGAAGGCCGGTCCTTCGGAGGACACCGTATAAACCGAGGCCCCGTGTTGCAGTAGGTGCTGGCACGAAAAAGATCCATCACTGCTCCAAGGCCCTGAGTGCCGAGCATAGGACAAAATTTGTAGCCCTCCATCGGCAAGTGGTGGCGTCTCCATATGAGTGAAAAATTCTCGAGAGGGACGTTAAACAACATACAATCAATCAATCAATCATTAATATTTTATTTGCATCTTTTTTCTTTCCTCTACTCAATTATACATTTATTGTAAAAGTTATATACAGGAATACATGCTTACAATATATTCTTCAAAGCACATGAAGGGAAACAAAAAAATTACAGAAGCTGGATTTAAACCGTAAAAAATTTTAATCGTTCGATTCTGGGAATCTTAGTATCTAACACAGACGCTTTATATTTTATATTGAAAGACTTCAGGACTTAAACACTAGTGTCGGAAAATCAAATTTAATCATTGAATATGTTTTATTTTTGAAGAGTCATCTTTCTTTATTTTAATTGAAATCATCAATTGAGTGAAAATGAAAGAAATATAAAATAAACAATCTATTACTTTGATTAACATAAAATATGAAAAACGATCAATAAAGATCCGAGGTACTTATGCGTATGTTCAAACTGGAGATAATATCATTTTATTTTATAAATACGCGATAAATGTGTTCACATTTTATCTGAAATTGTTGAAGTGGCAAGGTAATACTCTGCTGGTTATGACACGATATATTTTTGAGAGAGAGAAAAAAAATCTTTAAATATCCAACACAATGAAAATAAAAATAAAGTTTTTTTTTCTTCAAGGACATGTAGAGAACCGTGTTTTAATGAAATACGAAAGAATAAGAAAAATTATATTCCAAAATTCAAAAAGATGGAAAAATTTGCCGAAAAAACTCTTCAAGAAAAATAATTATCATCAATATTCATTTTTGTTTTCAAGAGACGACCCCATGCTTAGAAGATTCAACCAAGGATAATGATGAAGAACCGAGAAAAGAAGGTAATATTTATCAGGTGAAATATGGTTTAAATGATTGTGTTTAGGTTTAAAAATCTACGAAAGCCCAGAAAGCTCATTCGAGATTCAAATTTCGAAATACGAGATTCGAAATTCGAGTTTCGAAATTCAAAATCCAAACTAACCAATTAAAAGCGGGTTCAACATTTGATTACTCCCCTTTGTTATGTTTTACTATCAAGAAATCGTTGAATATATTTATAACAAATGGGTCATTTGCTAAAATGATAATGCAAAAAAAAAATTATGTATCAAAAGGAAATAAAAATAAAATTTGGATTACATTTTGAAAAAATACATATATAATTTTTTTTTTTTCATTTAACAAAATAGTAAATACATGTACGTATATATGGAATATTATATGGTCTTATCGATGACTTGCGGAACACGTAGGTCGATTTTTTTTTTTTTTATCAGATCATTGTTGAGGGAGAATATTATATTTGATTATAATTAGATATGAAATACTAGTATTATGAATCGTCTCTACATTGCACAGTTATTCAAGGGTATATATTTCATTACATTTATAAAGGGTAAATTTGTGCAGTGAGACTTGGCTGCTGAATCGAATTTGATTCCCATGGTTACAAATTGCGCTCCGTTATTAGCAGACTTATTTTTATATTTATATGAAGAAGAATTTATGCAAAATCTTATGCGTGAAAAGAAGAAAACTCTTGCTGTAGCCTTCAACGCCACATTTAGATATATCGACGACATATTGTCAATTAATAATGATAATTTCCATTCCTACGTCGACACGATATATCCTGGTGAGCTTGAGATAAAAGATACCACAGAGTCCGACCCTTCTGCTTCATTCTTGGATATTTTACTTGAAAAAGACACTAATGGTAATCTAATAACCAAGCTATATGATAAACGTGATGACTTTAGCTTTTCTATCGTTAACTTCCCTTACTTATGCAGCAATATACATTCATCACCTGCATACGGAGTATACTGTACATCACTAAATTTTCGCGACACCTTATTTTCGCGAGATAGTCATTGACTCTTGATTAGCGAGACAAAATTTTCACGAATTGTGGTTCTTGCTCTATATAATCTTAAGAAATGCTATTAAACGCGAGAATTAAATTTTCGCGAGCACATTGTCTCAAGTAATTACGCGAAAATAAAGTTCTCGCGAATAAAAAGTGATTTACAGTATATTTCTCAGTTGATTCGATACGCAAGAGCATGCTCTATGTATGAACAATTTCTTAAAGGGGGTAAATTATTGACAAGCAAGTTGATAAAACAAGAATATCATCAGTCTCGTTTAAAGTCATCATTTCGTAAATTCTATGGTCGATACAATGGCCTTGTCAGCGAATACAATTTATCATTGAGTCAAATGCTGACTGACGTTTTTCATACCAATTGTTAGTCCATTATTTATACACTGAATTGACGACGTTTTTTTTCCGTTATTTCCTGATCATGACAACGAGCACACGGCAGGTGTGACCGGTCGGCAGGGGATGCTCACTCCTCCATGGCACCTGATCCAACCTCTTATGTTTCGGAGGTCCGTGTTTGCTCTGCTCTTATTTTGTATATTGTTTAATTGACGTTGAGATTGAATACTGTTCGTTATTTCCATATCCTTCCTGTAGCGTTATAAGGATTCACGAGTATATTTTAATCTTTGGTCATAACGGTATGGTCAGAAACTAAAATTTGAAACCAAAACGCTAAAGTTCTGAATCTAATTTAGACTCATCTACTCTTGATTTAAGATAGAATAAATGCCGCATTTACTTAAATTCGTATTGTCAATCTGTATTGAATATATAATTTTTAATGAATTGAAGAAATCAAAGCCTTAGATGAAGATAAGTAATTAAACACTTAATTTTTATGTATTTCCTCTGTCAGGAAAACGAACACCATTTTTGTTTTTCAATACTACGTCGCCTTTCTAGTTTTACAAAGTAAAATTTTCAGTGCGTTTGGAAAAATACGAACGAGAGTTGGGTAGGGATGGGGTTATTGTTAATATTTAGACACTTGACACTTATTTAAAACTTTATTTATATTTCATCAATCCCGGAAACAAAGTAAACAAAACCAAAATATATATACTCCTGATATAATTATGTATTCTATTTAATATTTAAAAAGCCATAGTATAAATTGAAGTATATCTTGCTGATCAAAAATACAATGATCATTTATATTTCCTTGTAATATATATAATACTCTTTCTTGCATTGTAATTTAATGACATTATTCATTTGTTATAAATATATTAAACGATTTCTTGATATAAAATCATTATAAAGGGGAGTAATCAAATGTTGAACCCGCTTTTGATTAGTTAATCTGGATCTTGAATCTCGAAACTCGAATTTCGATTCTCGAATGCCGAATCTCGTAATTCGAAAATCGAATTTCGTATTTCGAACCTCGAGTCTCGGATGAGCCTTCTGGGCTTTCGTAAATATCTGCATGAAATACTTTCAAAGTACATTATGTACATATGTATTTGCATGGGATTGACTATTAAACGCTTATGCTCATTAAGAAATGAATCTGAAAAATGAACGGTAACTTTATATAATCAATAATGATTTACAACAAAATGATATATATTTTACTAGCTTAACTCACTTTTACTGAATATAAAGCAAAAACAAGAATTTCCAGTGTATGTTAATAAAAGACTACAAAATAACTTATGGAGTTTGTTTTACTACATTATAGGTGGATAAATTTATGTCAATAATTGAACTTTATGATATTTTCTACTGTATGTGCAAAGCACATTGAAACATTATGATATGCTTTTCAGAAACATTTGTTGTTCCGAGATTATACGAAGATGCAGTTAAAATATTAAGAGAAAATGGGTTTATAATTATCGTTGGTGGATCAGGAGGTGGTAAGACTACATTGGCAAACCACATACTAAAGGAGAAATTCAAGGGCTCTCATGTACTTCATATGAAACCAAAACAGACAGCATTACCTGAAATCAAGAGTGACATGGATGTAATTGTTGTATGGCATGATTGCTTTGGAATATGGAAGGATTGTGAATTAGAGGAAAATGTTAAGACTAACGTTAGAGATACAATCATCAGTTTGATTGATAAATGTAAAGACAGGACAAATCACAAAGCCATTATATGTATGGATTTATCCTCTGATGAAAAATATTTTATTGATAAATTTAAAGAGAGCATTGTCAATCTTTCGGAAAACTACGAAATTTATATTGAAAGAGAACGTTTTATATACATGTTTGACAGAGGAATATACGTTGGACACATTTCCAAGGACGTAGGATTTCCTCTTTTAGTTAAATTGATTGTTGAACATCATATTCCGAACGAACAAACCGAAGATTTCATGAAAAAACCTATAAACAAACTAACTGAAAATTTTGATGAACTTTCTAAAAATGAAAAAGATGTGTATGTAACTCTTGTTTACGCGCTTTGTAACACTCCCTCTGTGAATCAAAAACACATAAATTGGAAGAATTGGTCAAAATTAAAAGTCGAATGTCAAAGTAAAGATAACGTCGAAAACAATCCACAACAAGAATGTAAAGACATGAACAACCCACAACAGGAAAGTAAGGATAAAGACAACAGCAACAATCCACAACAGGAGAGTATAGATAAAGACAACAGCAATCAACAACAGGAAAGTCGTGATAAAGACAACATCGACCCACAACAGGAGAGTACAGATAATAACAGCATCAATCCACAACAGGGAAGGACTGGCGGATACAGTCAACTAGAGGAAGACAAACACCCTTCTAAGGATTCTAATGCTATTTACAAAAACTCTAACTGTATTGAAATGAATTCATCCTTAACGAAATATCTTGAGAAAACTGAAAATCGTGATGTGTTTAGATTTCGGCACCAATTTCTAGCGCGTCTTCTTTTGCGTTATCACCTAGAGAGGGTTGGAAGTAAAGGAATATTAGAGGTGGGCAACGAGGAAATTAAGTCGGTTGTCGAGAAATTACAGTCGTCCCTTAGTAAACTGAAATCTGATCAAGTTGATGCATCCTGATGCTCTGCCTTTTCCAAAAATACTTAGAGAGAGTTCTTTTCTGTCAAAGAAGCATAGATATATATGATTTTTACTTCCAACAAATTATATGCTTGTATATGTGTTATATAAATTGATCACATGTATGGTTTTTGTGTTTCTATATGCCCCAAACTTACATAATACTTCTTTTTTGTAAACATACACTCCTATAGCTAGACACCTGATTCAAACTCTTGTCTTTATGCCCGAATGTCGAATTAAGAAACATTTCGATAAACATTCAATATTTTGATTCAAGAAGTAAAATTAACTCTAATCTAACAAAAATCGGACCAGGTATACAGCTCAACAAACTTTTTAAGCTCACATCGTTTTTCGCACAAATTAAGGTCACATTGTTATAATGTAATATTGTGTATTGAGACATCAAAATACATTTTAAAAGCATTTGTTTACATTATTTGAGTTTCATTTCATTTACCAAAACATAATTTATACAAATCAATTGCTAGAACTTTGATATATTCTTGGCTGAAAAATAACAACTATTTCCATTTGATTTTTTGTGGTTTCTTGCCAATTGCAGCTGTCTTTTTGTCCGTTCTTTTGAAAGCAGTAGCTCTTTGCAGAAACATAGATACGGGTACAGTACAGCTACTGTATCTTGTATTTTCCGTACATTCCGACTCTTTAGCACAGGGTGATAATAGTATTTTTCATATGTTTTACTGCTTTGTATATCAATAAGGTGGCATTTTTCAGAGTCACCTTCTAAAATCTAGAATCGTGAAAGATTCACCCCACACCAAAATTTTAACGTTTCAGACGGTAAATGCATAAGAATTTTCCTTTTCATAGAAAAAAGTTACTATCTAAAAAAATAAACAATACTTAATAATCCTACCCTGTAGTATGGTTTCTTTCTGCAATGTTATCTCTTTTCGGTACTACATTTCGACAAAACCCAGATGAGTATGGTAAATGAGCAAAGAATTTTAAAAAATTACTCACCTTTAAGATGAAATTTTTAAAATTTTCAACTACATTGTATCAAAGAAAGCACGTTTTATATTATTTGTAAATAATCTATGGTAGAGGCCTATAGTAGAAACATCGTACCATTTATTGATAAATTCCCCTCTGAAACATCCACTTTGGAAACTTAAGATAATAATTTCAAAGGACATTTATACTTGACATTATATATGTAGTATAACGTAGGGCCATGTCATCGTTCTGAGGTTCGAAAATAGTAATTTATATTATAAAAATGTGACCTTAATTTGTGCGAAAAACCACGTGAGCTTAAAAAGTTTGTTGAGCTGTACTTCATTTATTAAGTGATGAAAGAATTAAAGATTTTGTATTGAAATTTTAATGATGACAAGGAGCATACCGTGTGTGTGACTGGTCGGCAGGGGATGCTCATTCCTCCTCGGCACCTGATACCACTTAAGATGTTTTGGTAGTCCTTGTTTGCTCTGCTCTTGATTTGAATTATTTGCATTTACTTTTGGGCTTGAACATGTGTTGATCCTGTTTGTCATCATCATATATCACATTTATTGATGGTAAAAGTTTTCAAAGAAAAGGCTGACGTTTTAGAGGTTGGCTCTGTTCCTGATTTCTTTTGTTTATTGGACTTTTGAGCTCAATACTGTTCGTTATTTCAATATATTTCATTTATTTACAAAATTTGATACATAATTACGAGGGTTGTTCGAAAAGTTCGTGGACGATGTCAATCTTCGTTATATTACTCACTGGAAATTCAAAACAAGCACATTATAATATGTAAAAATATTTGTTTTGTTGATGTGTGAAGTTTCATTTCATTCGATTTAACACAAATAAATTTATTTCATTTTAAAATCAACATGTTTTGTACCCGTGGAGCACCCATAACGGCAATGTAACGTCAACACATAGCGTCGAGAATTTATAAGAGAAACTATACCTATACATTTCACACAGAATATTCCAATGCCCAGTCATTAAATTCTATTTTTAATACTTGACATTTAGTTTTTAAGAATTGATCTCATTGTGAAATTTCCTTTGTAAAGGTTTTAATTTCTTTTAGTACTCAACTCTGCTATCACAGGATAAGCAACTCTGAAGCGCTTTTGTCTTTCATTTACGTTTCAAATTTTAAAGTTTTGTTCAGATGTTTACAGTAAAACCATTTCTTCACAGGCCATTCTCATCCGATACAGAGTCTCTGTCACTCAAATATTGCCTGCACTATTTGTACACACATGCACAAATCGCTTGTGACATATTTTCCTGATTCCTTTAACATTTTTTAAGTTTATTCAGAATTTTACCTGAGAAAAACACAAAATTGCTTCGGTATCTGGTGCTCCGTGACGCTCTAAAACGTCATCGTTTTTGTCGTTTTTAATAAGGACTACTTATCTTCTCAAGTTGATTTCTTTTCAACAAACCAAAATATAAAACCATAATTTTGTACACGTATCGATGTAACAATTCTTAATTTGAATTTCTAGGTAGTTTTTCATTTTTCCTCCATTTTACAGAGAATATGACTATAGTCATTATTTATTGTATTGTCTATAAATGACTAAATTTTGACCTGCTCCGCGATCCGATTTTTGCATTTTTAAAATCTGGATAAGTTTTTAATCAATCGTAATATTTTGTCAAAATTAATACATATCATTTGGATTTATTGTTAAAATATGTCTACCAAATTTGGATAACATATGACGTCTAATAAAAAAGATATGACAGTTGTCCACGAACTTTTCGAACAACCCTCGTAACTATATAACTTTGATGTATAATCAACTGTATCAAAATATGAAATTATGATTTACCTGGGAAAAACGATAAACACTGAATTATGATCTGAATTCCATACTTTACAGATTTAGATATTTCAAGGTTTAAATTGAAAGGCTTTGGAGAACTCTTTATAAGCCCCACACTTCTTATGAAAATAAAACAAATATATTTTAATATTATGTTGTCTTGCCTTGCGAAACTAAGCAAACTTATAAAGTTACTTTATTAAAATTTAATGCTGATGTTATGTAAGTTTTACATTTATACTAGTCAAAATTTCTAAGTCCCCAGGCAAGTTTTTGCTTTACACCGCTCTTATATTAAATGATTTTAACAGTTTCATTTAATACGTGTACAGGATAAAAAAGTAGCAAAACAATTTTTCGAACTTAATTTATTTCATTGAATCACTTTTATACAATATGCAGAAACATTAAGGCACCCTAGAATAAAAAATTCACAACGTTAAATACTGCATTATCCTCCATTCAAACGAATACACTTCAAGACAACCGTTCCTCGAAGAGTTCACACCATTTAAGAAAAACTCTTTTATTGAATGTTTTTTTTCCATGTGGAGACCAGGTCGTCCTCTAGTTCCGTTGGATTCTGCTGCTGGAAAAGCTGTCTCCCACTCCGGTCTATCTTCTTCCATACATGTAAGTTAGGGTTGATATTAGGATGACAAGGGGGCTTACCGAACGTGCCATTTCCTTGCTGACAGCAGTTACATAATGACTCATTACATGAATTCCCAACTCCTTCAGTTTAACATTGATGGGAGGGCACTTCCAGTTCCGGTTCCATTGATTTTTCCAGATAAATTCTAGGATGATATTGTTGTGTTTGTTGAAAATGAAATCTAGCGATTTCTAATGATAAAAAGGAATTCAGGTATGCTTTGTAGGTTTTTGGGCATTAATTATAAAGGTTTGAAGTAAAATAAGTCATACAGTGAAAGGAAACAGAACTCTCGTTAACTACGACCAGCTTGGCCATTTCAACTTCACTTTCACATTGTTGTGTGGACAAACGCCGCATTTTAATCAAACTTTTTTCTGTTTTTAATCATCAATTAAAGACTTCATTCACAGATCGCTGAAAGAATCTATCAAATATTTGAGTATCCGTCAGACTCAGATTTACATTCTCACGAACAAGCAAAAGTTTGTTTATCTAGCCACAAACAATGATCTCCAAAAATTAAAGGAATTGCACACACTACTGGACGAAAAAAGTGCTGAGAATCCCAAATTTTACTGATAATGTTTGATAATTACTGATATGGTGCTGTTCTTGCTGATAATTACTGATATTTACTGTTAATATTACTGTTGTTGCTGATAATTTTAGATGTTGCTGATAAATACTGATAATTACTGTCGTCTTTTACTGTGGAGTCTGATAAATACTGATAAATACTGTTGAGGTACTGTCGCTGCTGAGAATTACTGATAATTACTGTTGAGGTACTGTCGATGCTGAGATTTACTGATAATTACTGTGGTCATTGTTTTTAACCTGGGAATGGATTGAAATAGCCTGAGAAATGATTATTTGTTTGTATTTTTTTAAGTATTTTAACAAATTCATTACAGTAACAGTCAATTACAAAATGAATTATTCTAAATAAAAAACTCACATTTTATTAATTTGTTTTCAGTTTTCATCTATTAATTTCATTACATGTATAATTATTTTTAGACCATAATGTTAACATAAGCTTTCATAAATGTTTATGTTTTTTCTTTAAATTTCTCCTTACACGTAGATGACATTATCTGAGGAAAATTAGTCTGTTGTATTTGCGGTGGTTTTTCTTCGCAAGTACTTTTTTAAAAAGTTTAATTTTTGTTCATAAAGGTTAAAAAAAATCTCATCTAATATTTTTTTCAAATGTATTTCTACTATCATTAAAAGCTTTTAGTGGACATCTTTAATACAGTCAATGGTTGTAAATATCAATGTATTTTACCGTGTAGAGAACTGAAAATGCACGAGCACATTTAGTTGAAAACATCCCCCCCCCTTTTCCATTTACTTTTAAATTAAGCTCTCATTTTAACAAGACAGTATTAAATATTTGTCATAAAATCTAGTCTTTAAGCGTACACTTTGTTATTTTATAGAAGAATGTGACAGGGTTAAATAATTAAATTGAAGCATCTTTAATTATTTATTTTTTTATAGCTCTCTCTCTATATATCTCTGTAGACTCTCTCTCTCTTTTAAATTAGTTCTCCGATGTCCTCCCTGCGAATTTTATATCGTGTCGCTTTCTAGCTCTCTCTCTCTCTCTCTCTCTCTCTCTCTCTCTCTCTTTTTAAATTATTTGTTAAGGCTTAAGTATTGTACACTACATGACATAAATCTTATGCAGTGTGATTTTCAGTAAATGAAATACACGTCTTTCTTTAGGCTAATTCTTTTTTCATTGTATACAGTTTTAAGTCTTTGGGCATATGGCTTCTAATATTATGCGCCACTCCTTAAACATGTTATATGCGGTCAGTCTGTTAAAAAACAAA